AATCCGAACTCAGCTGAGTTTCCATTCGCAGGTGAACCACTCTCAAGCAGTCAGCCCACAGCCTTGTTAAAATCAGCCTGGCGGAGACGGCTGAATCACTGGCCACGACGCTTCGCCGCAACCTGCATGACGGCGAATAACGTTCGGCAAGGAAATAACCGGTCTTGAGTTTTCAGGCTCGTCGCCTTTCCATTTTGTGCGATGACTTCACACAAATACAGCACAATCAAAGGTGATAACGGATGGTGGGCGCAAAAAACGGCTCAATTTTTAGTATCACGCAGAGGCACACCCATGTGTACATGACCCTAGCCATGGCGGCCTGAAGTAGTGCCTTTTCCGCATTGCTCGCGTGCTGTGCGGATAGCCGAAGCGTAAGCTGCGAGAGCACAGGGTTACTCGGAGGTTAATACCACCTATTTTTATTATGTTTTGAAAGCACAATGGGAATATCGGTATCGGGTTCACTTATTGTACTCTCTGCTGCATCAAAATCAAAGGGTCGCACATGCGGCAGAACGGCGTCTTTCTGAAACTACGTATTCGTCACGGTATACTAGCGAAGAAAGATAAAGTGTAAATTTTCACTGTTATGTGACGCGCAGTGTTTCATACCAGACACACTAAATTCTGACCACGTGTTGCGTTATTGTTGAACAAGCAAAATATCTCGATGTTCGTTTTTACATTGCCCAACATATCGACTGAACACCGCACAACTCACAGCGGGAATGGGAGACCATTTGCACTCTGACCACTGCACCGCTGTGATTACATTAACGCGTCTGCAAGAATTCTCGGTATCGCGTTACAATGAAAAGCAGCGCTAATTTAATGAAAGGAAAGAAAAAGAAAACCATTTAACCGACCAAGCGTAACCAGTGAGCTTAGAACGCGGCACTCTTCTGACTTCGCTTGCGGATCGGGTTGTCTTTTTTTCTTCTTCTTCGCCAGTGCCCCCTATATTATACAGCCCGCAAACTTCGAAGTATAGTAAGTTTACAGCACATGCGGATCTCTTGCAGAGTCATCGCACTTTTAAGTGCGGCGCAAACATACAGCAGAAAAAAAAAAGCCCATTTGAGAATATATATACGCCTAAGCATTGGCCTTGCCTCTCCTACACCTTGGCCCGGCGTTCCCAAATGAGCGAGAAGTTATATGAAAGCACAAAACCATTTCTTTTCTCGCCACGTACATGCTTCACCAACAGCGCGGCAGCCTTTTCGACCATGCGAAGGAGCGTCGCGGTGCGGAGAAAAGAGCGGGCCACGCCAAGGAGGATACATAAAACTTGCTGGAGTGGAAGGGGCGCTGTGCGAGTGAAGCCAGCCGCCGCCATCTTGCCAGTGGCAAAAAGCGAGCTCAGCGCCCTCGCGAGGTGCTGATTTCGTCTGTTCTTGTTTCACCTTGTCAGCTTGTAAAGACACATGGTTTACAATGGTTGCCTCTTGCGTCATTTACGGATGCGCCAACAGGTTGAAAAAAGGTTGTGGCCTCACATTCCACCTGTACGTACACGAAAACGTCTTCGACATAGCCATTCCGCGCTCGTTACTAAAGGGAGCTATAGCTGACGCGATCTAAGTGTGCAAAACATAACAGTCCGGATTTGTTTTACAGGTTTTCTAAAGATCCCGTAACGCGGAGCCTCTGGGAGTGGGCCGTTCGCCGTGAGAAGTAGAATGCGAAAGACTGAAATCACTTCGCTCTGTGCACTTCGCGCCAGAGTGCTTTGACCACCTCTTTTACATTGAAGGGAAGCATGTGAAATGGGGTTATGAAGTGGCATTGAAGGCACTTAAACGTGAAGAAGGGTTGTGGCTCAGAAACAAACTTACGAAAGTCCACGTCCAATGGGAAAAGCAAGAAAATGAAGGTATGATATGCTGTACAACTGATCGAGTGCCTCAGTTGCCGACACTTTGGACTTCTGCGAACAAAAGCTAAAGCTGCCGCAATTCAAAGGTGCCAGCACAAGATCTACGTTTATTAGAACTTTTGATGGCTTGTTTGACATCTTAAACTCCAGGAACCCGCTGGCAAGGTCGTACAAAGCGCCCCTTCGGCAGGGGAACGAAGCATTCTGGAAGCCGTTTTTTTTTTTTTTTGCGGAGACTCGAGCGTACATAAACGGGCCGAGAGATCCGGCAGTGACAGAACGACTGAAAAAAAAAAAAACGGATTCATTGGTTTTTGGATACGCATGGCAAGCACGGAAAGAATGTTTGACAGACTTGTCAGCCAGGGTCAGCTGAAATACTGACACACAAACTCAGTCAAAACTATGCTGAAAACTTCTTTGAATCAATACGTGGATGAGGTCTTTGAATCAATACCCAACAGCTTCGCAGTTTGTGGCTGCATACAAGCGTCTATTGGTTTAGACGAAAGTCACGTCTTCAAGTTCTGGACACTGCTCCCAAGATGTTCTCTCCGTATTGAATGCAACGACTCCTGCAGCCATGGTAGATCCAAGAAGCAATCTCACTGACATGCGCAAGGCCCCAGTCCTGCAGCTCGATGACCACGACAATACGCATCGCATTGACTAGCCCGAAAGCTTTTCTGCTTTTGTCGGTTCCGTGGTGTTCTACATAGCAGGTTTCATTGTTCGAAAGGTCGAACTGCAACTACCTGTGAAGAGTGCATAGTAGCCATGCACTCAGATGAGCTGACACCTTTAATTAAATGTAAGAGGCGAGGTGGTCTTGTTTTACCGTCGCGAGATGTCATTAGCCCCTGTAAAGAAGTCGAGGTCTGAGGCGGCTACAGGCTGAATGTGATTCCATCACAACGGTGAAGTCAAGAGCAAGACACCTCATCCTGAAAGTTCTATGAGCTTCCTCCGAGAAAAACTGGTTCCATAAACTAGAGCAGCATGTCCTAGACTTTGATACGCTTGATAATCAGGTTTACAGTTTGTGCAGGCAAATCGCCGAACAATACGTAAAAGTGAGGATACAACACATGACGAAGGAAAAAAAAAAACGAGAATCGATCAAAAGTAAGGTGGGACCACTTTTGACAAGGGCAATAATTTTCAACCACCAGTAGGGCACCTATGTTTTCGATTATGTGTTTGCTTTAGGCATCGCTATTTGATGCATACGCACTTTAATTGAGTTCTCTACATGCCACTTAGCTGTGCACAAGTCGCAATAAACATATACAACCAGAATTACTTGTTTTCGTTGCTTTATAAACACACGAGTCACTTCACCCGCAGCGCGATGAAGCATTAAATTTGTAGTGCTCGGCTCTTTTCTGCCACTGGCAACATGGCCGCCGCATGCTCGGCGCGGCTTCACTCTCTCCCGTAGCGGCGCATAGGCGGCTTCCACTCCAGCAAGCTTTATGTATCCTCCTTGGGCCACGCACAGCTCTGGAAACACGCTCTCCCCTTGCGATGAGTACGGACGGAGAGAAACCCACCGCGCTCCCGCCATCTCGGAGGCCATCTTACACGCAGAACAGCATCGACGCACTTGATGAGTCTAAAGGAGATCACTTGCATAAACGTATACTCCTGGACACTCATGCAAAATATGACATACCCAAAAACGATGAAGCGTTTAGCTCGAGGCAAGCTTATAAAACCCAGCATGCAAAGGCATTTTGCACTACATATAACATCGCTGAAATCGCTATGCAAAAACTCGTTCAAAAGAGCAAAAACAACAACAACAACAAAAAGCATTTGGTGTTTGTAGAACAGAGTAGGTCTCACTTCTTTGAGCACGCAATCACACTGTCTGACGTCCCATTAGTCGGTGTACTCTGGAAATACCAACTTACGGCGTATATATTCTGGCGTAAGATAGAAAAACATACAGTTAACGCACTCACGCTATGCCGTATTACGCGGCGCGCATAAAGCAGTTGTTTCTGAGACAACCGTGCTGCGTATTCAACTGCAATCTCGCTCTTCAGTCAACTTTATTGAAGAGAAAATTTCCGAGCGTTCCGAGAGCTTGACAAAATTGTAAAAGGCTGACGTTATCTCTATCTTGAAGCAAAACTTTAAAAAATAATAATCCAAACACGCATGTACGCATACATCACACAAGGTTTCATCATAACAATTAATCAAGCGACTTTGCAGCTGTGCATTGTGGAATTAAAATCAAACACGAAAGTATGTCGTTGCCTTGACAGGCACTCTCAATTTGCAAGACACGTTTGATCGCCGTCATTATTTACCCATTCACTGTTATTAAGTACTTACATAACAGACGATCATCTTTATAATTGCGACTGCTTGTCGTGCACGTATTACAACAAAACACAAGAATCGGCGTTTGGCAGAATAGACAGTGGTTCATACAGCTATCCGTCGCGCATGCATGCCCCAGTGCATGTCGCGAAGTCAGCGGCTCGAAGAGCGCCCTACCTAACTAAAACGTCAAGCTTTTCATACCTGCTTAAACACAGGCCTGGAATCCCCCCCCCCCCCCCCCCAAAAAAAAGAAGCTCCTGCGCTCTGTTCGTGCGTCAATCTGGTTGTGGGATGCAAAGGTTAGTGAAGGCGCGGCAAACCAACGACATACAACCCTTACGAAGGAAAATGCACGTTAATTCGACTAGTGGATATGAGAAGACGATCAATGGTGGCTGGCGTTTACGTAAAAAAAATATCTACGAAAAAAAGTTCCATACGTACTTCAAAATGCCGTTCATTGATTGCCTTCACCAGAGATCATGACTGGCTGTGGCACCTGCTCGTACACAAACTGCGTAAATGTACGTGCTTGCGTGAGTGTGTTCCGGTTAATGCCGCAATTAAAGCATAAAAAGTAAAACATTCATCGGTATTTCACAACTGTTCTTGACACGTGCTCGAATTGCTCTCGAATCGAAACTAAGAGGCGGCTATGCTGCCCCCCCCCCCCCCCAGAACGGAGAGAAGGAGAGAGAGAGCTCAGAATGGGCGCTGCCCTATAAACGAATGCGAAGAAGCGGAAGCGGCGTTCACAAGGGGCGTGTTGTGTAGTACGTACCTCTCGGTCGTTAATCAGCCAGTGGAGAGTGGGACCCGCGCTGGAAAGGCCGCTGCTACAAGTGGCGTTGATGCGCTCGCCGATCCGGTACCGGGCTTTGATGCCGGTCAGGGTCGGACCCTGCAGGTCGGCCGCTGCGAGGGCCACGCCGGCAAGGAAAAAAAAAAAAAAAAACACCAGCATTAGGCAGGCGGCATGCATGTTCCGCAAAAGCCGTCGAAGCGCTGCCCCGGCCCTCGTAGAGTACGCCTGCGGAGACCGCCTTACCCTGCCCTGAATAAACCAAAAGGAGTGAGGGGCAAAGAACAACAATGTCACAAGTATTTGATCAGCTTATGACACCAAAGACGCGGGAAGTATGAGAATGCCATTCACCGCCCTGCACCCGTATAGATCCAGCCTGTCAACTTAGACTGCGCTCACACAGCAGCTCAGATCTTTTGCTTGGCCACCGCAAACACACACCTTTTCCAATGGATACTCGACCGACGTAGTACGTGCAGTAGCACGGCTAATTGGGTTAGATCTCATTGGTTCATGTTTTATAACTTGATAAGGCGCGCGCACACACACGTAGTACGGCTTTGTAACTGACGGTCACCGTCACATGCGCATTTCTTCAGCACGCACTAGAGGAGTGACATCAACGGGCCATTGTTGAAAAAAAAAAAAAAACCTTTGTCGGGTCAACCTCCGGGGCTTAGGCTAGACCGGTGTTGAGGTGCTATTCAGAGCGCTCTCCTGAGAGAGAGAGGGGTTTAGGAAGGGAAAAGACAAATTCACCCTCTCTCGGGAGCGCTCTAGAACGCTCCGAAACGACCAGTCAAATAGCGCCGTCTGGTTCGCCATTTTGTCAGACCAGGTTTCGCTCACCGGAATGACATCCCTGACTGGCTCTAACCGCCAACATGACTGCTTTTGACGGGTACTTCCACTACAAACAGGTCCACTTGGTGTGTCTGCATCGTCTGCAACGGTTCACGATCTTCCGCATCCGGTCATTCGTGTCCAAAGTTGCATAAGTGCAGGGCTTCGCGGTGCACTTTTTTTTCTGCATGCTTCTGCATTCACCTTACCTATGTTGATGTAGTCGAACTGTGGGGGAGTGAAGCAGTAGACAACGCAACAAACAGCCAAATAAAGAAAAGTGGAGCAGGCATAAAAATTATATACGTACACACATACAATCACCAGCGCCCAAAGAACGTCTCTGTGGGCGGAGTCCCAAACATTAGGACGGTCACCATTAATACAACTGTAGATAAAGTCAAACATTTTTCACGTACATAAAGGATCACACCTTTAGCAACGCAAAATGACGAAGAAATCACAGTCATGAGTGAACATTCCATGAATGTGTGTCCGTTGAAAAAACTTGGATAATCTCTCCGAAGGGAACCCTGATAGAATGCGAAGCAGCAGTGTTGCGCACAGGTGGCATCACGGGTTGAACGTTGCTAACGCGGGTGCCGCGGCATGCGCAGGAAGATTTGGAGCGATCACTGGCGTAGGTCTTGTAGGTGAAACGTACAGACATGTTTCAACGCGCACATTAGGCTCGCGTCAATTTTACTACGCGTGAACCGACGAGACGGCGGTGCAGCGAGCGATGGCCGCTGCAAGTGTTGTGGACGAACAGACGAGCTGGCAGCTGCGCGCGGCAGGCGATGGAGAGAGTGACGTCAACGCGCACAAGCGGCGTGACCTACTTGGTACCGCACCAACACCTGCGGCGCGCGGTGCGTTCGTGCGGAGGGACAGCGTTACACAGGCTAGTCAAAGAGCTGCTTCGCATCTAAAACTAGCTGCAGTTGTTTCGTGTACGAATACAGCCGGTAAGCGAAGCTCCTTAGAAACGGGACGCAAACGAAGATGCGCCTACTCGCTGCCGGCTTTCATGAAGGCGGTCAAAGCCAGTGAGCGTGCGGCGCGCGCAGCACAGCGCGAGCCAGCCCAGGCTAAGCCCACACAATGAGCCAGGCCCGAAGCCATGAGGGTAGGGGGGCGCCCCCTCCCCCCTTAGAAATTAGGAGGGAGGGAGTGTTTTACCTAGAAAAAAAAACTATAGGTGTTTTTCAAGGCCTTCAAGAAGTGCCTCCACCCGAAAAAAATTCCTGGCTACGGGCCTGCAACGAACCAACCACTGGGCAGAGTGGAACCCCGAAAATGCCACGGGGTCGAAGACGGTAGGGCGAAGCGATGGTTTCTGCGCGTTCGTCGGTTTGGTAGTGGTGGAGGTAGTGGTTAGAAGAGGAAGAAGGCGTCTAATTTCTGCCACGGCCGCTGGATGAAAAAGCGCTCTTTCAACCAGTGGCCGTGTTTCTGTAGCCCGGTAGGGAGCACGGCGCAGTGCCTGTTCGTCGGTTTGAGGAGAGAGCAAAGAAAGAGGGAGACAGGCGGGAGAGGGGCGCGAGGGGGGATGCGGCGGGGAGCTTCGACGGCGGCGACGGTGGGGTGCTGGCCTTAGAGCTTCGCTCCTAAAAAAAAAATCTCAGTATTGTATACAACGCAGTGTGAGCAAATTTACGCGTGGCAGAGCCTATCCCGTTGTGCATCCTTACCCATTTATCTGTCCGCGTTAATCCAACAAATACTGGACGCTGGCGGTTATACACACATATAAATCACTACTGACTTGCAAATGTGGGGTAAAAAGAGAGATGTAACGAAAAATGTATACCAAGTGTCTTGACGGCGAGAATACCAGAATGAAAGAATGCCACCACCATCTCACTCCATAAAAAAAGGGACGTCAAGGACTTAAAAAACGCATGCCAATAGGCTTACCGTCCGTTGTCTACAAGCTACTTTTAGGGGGGGGGGGGGGGCGCACAACCTCTAGGTTTTTTTTTTAATTCGTGTCAGTGTGGTTGCGCAGGGCTACCTGCATTTGTGACTCCTACACTCACGACAAAAATAGCAAAAATATAAAACACTGTCTGCTTTCAGTGCGGCTTTCAGTCAAGTATGCCGCCACCCGTACTGAAGCCGACGCGTCCGGCATTTCAAGCGAATTTACTCAAAGTAACGTACACTTCGAAAATATGATCGCAGGTAGTCTTCAGGTTCCGTTCTTAGATTTTATAACAAATATAGGCGTGTCACGAAAGGTGGTTCGTTACAGCGTTTATCCACGCGTATACTGCGTTTGCAAAAAAGTAAGGCGAGCGCAAGAGAAACGAGTGATATCACACTCTTCCGATCTGCCCTTTTTTATTTCGCGGGCGAACTGTCCTTGGAATTTGAGCCGCGCTTACGGTGTCCGCTATTACGGAGTTTCCGAATAGCGCACCGCGAGTCTTTGCGGTACTGTCGCTGCCACTGCGCATGCGTCGTAACTCGAGTCACCGTTCGCGGCCCGCCCGCATAAAATCCGATATAGCGGGCGGCCTGCATGCGGCCCGCAAACGCTGCTTTCGAGGCTACGGCGTCGCTGCGATTGTGCGTTGCAATTCGCAGGAGGGCAAACGCTATTCCAAAACTCATGTGGCGCCCGCTATGCCGGCAACGCCTGCAAACGTTATTCTAAAGCGTCCTATTGACGGTTTCGTTTCGCGTGTACCATGCAGCGATGTCGAATGTCCGCGGTCGCCCGTGGACACGGCGAAAAAGGTCGGTGCACGCACGGATGCGATTGACCCCCTCGTTGTTGTGCGTGGCCGGACGGTGTGGCGGCCGTAACCTTGACAGCAGCACACGGAACGATCAGCGCGGCGCCCGCTTCACGGCCGCCACCGCCCGTGTGGCTGACGGGGCACTTGAATACCGGGGCACTTGTATTGGGCTGATTGCAGGCGGACGGTATACCCGCTGGCGTTGCCGACATCGTCAGCGGGTGGTACGCGAGCACTTCTGACGCAACACCTTGCCTGTCTTTACTTTCTCTCTGTGTGTGCGTGCGTGTGTACAATCACAAGTACGGGCCCTCTTTTACTGAGAGAACAGCTCACAAACACCACTTCTACAAAACAGGAAAGCCGTGGCGCAGAGGACTCCCAAATGAAGCGCTTTCATTCTGGCGCAACTCGCATTCGAGGATGTGCAGAGAGTTATCAAATGGCGTAATCAGTGAGGATACGTATGGCGAACCTGTGGCAATTCAGGCTGCACTCCGGCCACTTATTTTGCACTTTTTTTTTCTTTTGTCGCAGACTACATAGGTCGGGGAAAAAAATAATTTAGTAGAGCGCACTCAGACTCGCTCAAGAAACGTCTCACTCCGACTAACACTCGTCCAAAGTTTTCCTCAATCGGACTCGGATTCACAAAATGTTTTCTCATCAATGAGACTCACTCGGACGCATCAAAATATTACTCACCCGGACTCACGAGTGAGTTTGCCGGCCTGTACGGTCACACTTCCTGGTTCATCGAAGTGCTAAGTATAGAGAAACCTACCAACACTCCAGCTATACCGACGTCGAGTACAGACGAACAAAACACTGGTAACTCACATTTCACCGTTGTAATGCTGTTTGGGCTCCTGTGGCGAAAGTCGCCAAGCTCCATTTCTCAAATGCAATTTGCCATTGTAATATGTGCTACGCCACGATTGCCTGAAATTCTATCTTGTACCTCAGAACAAAACAATTTAACGATTGAAGCGGATCCTTCCCGATCGGAAGACAGAAATTATTTTCGCACCAGCTTACGCTTGTGTCGAGTGCACTTTAGGAGCGATAAGACGCCACGAACGACAGCACCAACAATATCTCCTAATCGTCCGCGCCATGCATAAAACCGACTTTAAAAATGTCATGCACAAAATGTTCGCGTGTGATAACAGGAACCTGCCGTATGCTCAGGTTTGGGTGCACGTTAAAGAACCCCAGGTGGTCGAAATTTCCGGAGTCCCCCACTACGGCGTCTCTCAGACTCAGGTTTTGGGACGTTAAACCCCACATATCTATCAATCGATAACAGGAACGTGATTCGAGTACAATGAATTTCACATCTGCACGGCATATCTGGTATAGTGGCCTCTACCAGAAGAATATTTGTCTACACGCGGATAAACTATACGTCACGCGTCGTGAAACAGGCTGAGCGTTGATTAAAGCCAAGCAGAGAGCTTGTTACGTATTCGGCAACTGGACGAAAGCCGGCCCAGGAAACAGGCAACCCAAGCAGTGCC